TTTCTCCATTCGCAATGGCTCTCGAGAGTCTCTTCCTGTATGCGAAGTAGATATGTGGCACTAGGGCAAATGCAACCAGGAAACCTACGTTCATACCGATGAACGTCAATCCCACGGACCCTTGATCGAAGCCATATGTGTCGCCAAAGATGAACTCATAGCCCGTCAGGAATCCAAAAAGAACGATATAAACGACGACGAGATAGATGGTAAAGAGCGCCACCATTATTTCTCTGAAGAACAAATTGAAAGGGCGGGAGCAGCTGTGCACCAGCCGAGTGAAGAGCGGTGTCTGTCGTAATTCGAACTCCGCCTTGAAACGCTGATCACCGGTGATTTCACGGAGATGTTTTGCTTTCCACCCCAACAGTACTGGCCCATAAGTTTCTGGAACAAAAAGGAAGATAGCAGATGTCACTAGCCCAGCCATGATCATCGTGCACCATTCAGTCCAGCGCCAACTGATGTGCGTGCTTTGTCCAATAAATGATCCGACCATTGGGGCAAGAAAGGGTCCGAGGAATGACAGCGTGCAGCAAATTGGAAAGGCATAAGTGCGCTCGATGGGGTCAAATATGTCGGACATACTGCCGCCAAACGTGGTCATTGGCGTACATCCAAACAGTCCGGCCAGAAAGCGAAAGGCAAGTTGGGCCCCGAGATTTGGTGCGAGTCCTGAGGCCATTGTGAAGATCATAAGGATAAACAATGTAACGATATAAACTGGGTTTCGTCCAACGGTCTCAGAAAAAGGTGCAGCCACAAGTGAGCCGATGCCAAAAGCAATCAGGAAAAGCGCCGTTGCTAGAGATTCGACGATCTCGCTGACCCCATATTCCTCCTGTCCTTGTTTGATCACAGTGGAGTCGATTGATGAAGCCCATCCAACCAGCATACCCGTAGTACCAACAATGCCCAATGTCGACCATTTTTGTCCCGTGGACCAGTTTTTGGGATTGAGTTGGTCATTGGGACCATCGAAGCCGACAATAAACAGTGTTTTCGGGTCGAATCTTTCAGAGGTCTCGGATACGTTCTGGGGTTTCACACCAGGGACTGTCACTCTCTTGCCGTCATGTAGCATGATTTTCCGTGTAGCGGATAGTGGACGGATACCCTTCTCCGGTCTGGCATCATTAACATCCTCTAGGATATCGTTGGTTGGTTGTGTATGAGGATCACCCGTAGCAGTATTCAGACCGTGCAATTGAATGCTTTCTTGCAAGTCCTTGCGCATACGTCGGTATTGTCGAAAAGACTGCATGGTCGCAGGGCGGGGACGTGGGCTCAAGCAAGGGGCAAACTGGAACTCAAAAAGTAGTAGTTCGCACAAATCTGTTTAGCTTCTTAATATTGACTCTTCACTTATTACTTTTCTTTGTAGTGCAATTTTATATCTACTTCTACATCTACTTCCGTTGCCCGATTCCCGCTTTACCCGACTTACCCGATCTTTCCTACTTACCCGTTCAAAATTATATGAAACCGGAAAAAGAAAGGAGAGCACAGTAAAGTCAAGCTAATTTCTAGTTTTCGTTGGAAAGAAAAATCAATATCGAATATCATCGCATGCTGTCTACGTAAATCCATAGAATGGGAGTCTATATAAACGCAATGCGGACATCCCTCAACCACGTACTCAAGTCATCGCGAATCTGTATGCTATCTATCCCCAGGCACCAATTTTGCGTTAGCCAAAACCAGGAATTTGTGTGTCTAGAAATTCATTCCAGTCCCAGTCAAATTCATCAGGTAGAGACAGGTTTTCGGTCGCTCCCAGCCAAGAAGCAACGTCCAAGGCTTGGGGAGTAGTTGAACTTGGCTCAGTTGGTCCTTTATCCCTTTGTTGTAAACTGTCTCTGAGAATGATGGAGTCCCGTTCTTTTTTGGTTTGGAAAAGACAAACTAGCGATTCTATTGTCTCCAGTGCCGTGTGGATAGTAGGTGTATTGTAATGCCTGGTGATGGCCCTGAACGAGCATAGCGCAGGACCAATATGTGACAGCGATTCCCTTGTATCAATGGCCAGCAAGATACAAATAAACTGAAACGGGAGGTTGGCAACATGCCACCACGGACAGCGACCTTCGGCTAGACGTGTTGCGGCATCAAGACCCTGGTTCCCAAATCGCATAACGCGAGCAAGAACATCATTCGGTATATTCACAGACAAAATTCGCAGCCGACGATATATCGTGAGCGCTAAATTACTTTGGGAAAGGATCAAAGCATCGTGGGAGAGTCCAAGGCTCTCAACGCGGGTCAGAGCCTCTTCGAAAACAGAAGAATTATTGTCACGGTCCGGGTCGAGTCCTTCGGAGATTTGATATAGGCTTATCAGGTCTGTGGTGAAGTCGTCCTTTCGAGGTAAGGGGAGCTTGCATGAGACACCTCGTGGGGTCACACGCGATCGGCCGTACTCATAGGAAATCCACGAATTTAGAACCGTGGCTACCCAAAAGAGCCGGCGGCGGGTTTCCTCATTGAAACTGACGTCTGCAGTGTCAGAATACACTAAGGATGCCAGTTCGGGGTCTTGATGGGCTCCAATGGCCTCGATAATGTGCATAGTGGAACAGCTGGCCATCCACGACGCATGAGGGCAATTAGTGGTCCGGAGATATATCGTCCGTAATATCCAAGCACTCGCATGGTGAAGGAGAATTGTTTTTGAAGTTTTGGTTGTTTCGAGTTGTTCCTTTGCACACTGTACCAGTGCGCATTCCTTGGGATGTTGTTTGTGGCCTGAGTACAAGGAGCCTAATGCCGCCACGCCACAGAGAATAGAGTCATAAGAAGCCACGGTCGTAGGATCATGCCACCTATCATCAATCCTTTGCCGTAAATCTTCAGAGTCCAGGACCCCATACACAGGATGTATCTTCTTCAAATAATGGTCGGTCAGATCTTCCATCTCCTCCCTTGAAATCAGATCTGTCATATTGGTAGAGGGCTCTAGGGGTTCATCCCGTGGACCCAAATTCCAGCTAAAACCGTGCACCTTGGGTGCGCTCTGTGGATTCATTTTCATACCCAGAAGATGAGGGAAAGCAGTGCCTGAATTGGCTTCCATGTGTGCATGGTTAGCACCAGCTCGGTCGGAAAACCTTTGTATTTCGAGTTCGTCGCCCAGTACCGAAAACTTAGAGGCGGTCGTTTTCTCCCGTGCAGAAGGCTTGAAGCTGCACTGATACTCATACCGTATACAGCAAGTGCAAGGCTCATGACCATCGCATTTCCGCTTTCGCAGCTTGCACATTTCACATGCTCTTTTGGCCCGCTGTCGGGTCCTTATCCGACCAGAATTATCAGTATGCGAAGACATGACGTTGCAGTACATGGAACAAGATGTGATTTCTTTAGGTGGTCGATGTGGCCAGGTGGGTCCTGTCTGTTGCCGGAGTAGGATATATAGTGGCCAATCAGCGCCAATAACAACGGTATATATATTCCAACCTTGGAAAGTTCAATGCTATATCGCTTCGAAGGTAGGTAGACCTGGACATATATGGTATTGGAACAGTTGAAAAATGAGTGCATTGTAACACATTAGAACATGCCAATTATAAGCATTACTTTACTATAGAGGTATGTAGTAGCCCTGGTTTTCCAAGCTTCAGACCCCAATAATGCGATACTGGCGGTCCTAATGCATATAAAACAGCCCTAGAGAGAAACTGCCTTACGGCTCATATCACCTGTCCTAACGCTTGTCGTCGGCCTCGGCCCCCATTTTCACTTTGGGGATATTTAGGTACCCTTGGTGGCCCAACTGTTTATTTGACTCAAAGGCATACTGTTTATTCATACAGGACCTACATAACATCCAGCATGCGTTTCGACTACTACATTATCACTCTCATCGCTTATTTAGCACACCATTCTCCCTTGACGCCAAATTTCATCTTATCACCCGACCTACCAAAAGTGAAATCATTCATGCCGGCACCGCCTACACCATCGAGTGGAATGTGTCAAACCAATTCCATCTAGCGTTGTGTCAAATACAACCAAACTAATATCTTCATAGCCGACACTAAGAGTAGCGGCGGGAAATTCCATTGGAATGTTAGCAGCTCTTTCAGACCAGTGATAATTACTACCTCAAATTTGACTCTATCAACAATTGTGCCATCTATAATAAGTCCCCGAACTTCAATATCAAGACCTCAAATGAGTCAACAAAAATTACTAGCGCTTCCAAAGCGCTAATGACAACGACATCCGCCACTATTTCTCCTACAGGTCGGCCATAATTAATTTCACTGGCGCGACGGGTACATCTGCTCAGAGTGCATATGCAACTACCTCAGTACTGAACGGGACCGGCAGCCCGGCGACTCCTATTTTCGCTGCTCCATTTGCATTTGTGGGCGTTGCATCTGGTGGTATGTCGGCCTTTTCAGCCAAAACTGAGGGTGTTCGGTGTGAGAAGTTTAGAGTTTTAAGGAGTTGCGCGGAATGTATTCCCCTGGGAAATTGGTCCTACGGAGTACTTTCAGCATTTATATCCCAGGATTCTTCTTTCACCTTTAAACCCGCGTTTGAGATATCGAAATTGCAAAGTACCTCTCCCATGCCTCATCTGTCAAAATTCTCATCACACTACAAATGCTCAAGTAGTTCTGTTGTATCAAAAAAAAAGAGGCCCGAAAGATTCATAACCCCAGCAATACACTGTGGAAAGGGGGGAAAGTATATCTAAATGTCAACTGTTTTCTGGATTTTCCTAGGAATGTAGGGCTGCATGTCTGAGTGCTCAGCTTTCCTTGTTTCTAGATAATGTCATAGAAGGTCTAGTACACCATATAAACGGTGCTCCCCTTGCTCGACATGGATCCCCGTTTGTCATAATCAGTTAGCGACGTCATACATCACTATTTCATATGCTTCTTCTCTGATAATTCAAAACACTGCTTGTCGATTCCCATTACTCTACCCTGACCTCTGTTGAGCTTTCTGATCTATCGAACTAGGTCTGCCCATCAAGGAACAACAGCATGGCCTCTTCAACACCATTGGCGAAACGATCCATCTCTGAGCAAGAACCTCCGGGAGATGAACCGTTAAGCTCGCCCGCAAAAAGGCGCCGGGTCAATGCCGCTGATAGAACGTCCATTGAGACCACCGTCGTGCCCAAAGGCTCGGGAGACTTCATACCCCAATCTGTTTCCAAAATAGAGGCGTCAATCGAACGCGCCTTTAGCTTAAGAAGTTCATTCGAGGATGATAATTTGCCAATAGAATGCGATTGCCCACCGTTGCGTGGCCGATCCGACTATCGCGTCTGGCGCCACCGAATGAGGCTTGTTCTGAGGAACAATCTGCTATTGGATTTGGTTGAGGGAAAAATCGGTCAACTCCCTCCATCCCACTACTTGGAACCCCAATTAGACAGCCTGAACGAGGCAGCGAGGAAGATTATTAGTACAAATCTATCTGCCACTACCAGGCTGATTGTTCGCAAGATTCGAAACCCACAGAAGATGTGGGAGAAGCTGGAGAAACACTGCAAACCTTCTGATTGGAGTGTGGTGCGATCTGGCTGGCTTGAGTTGCAAAATATCAAATATAGCCAATGTTATGATGTCTGGGAGTATGTGTCTAAGGTGGACGATGCATGGAGATGCATCTGCCTTGATCATGAAGACATTCTTGAAAAACATGAATTCGCCCGTTGTGCAAGCCTCATGTGCTCTTTGGATACACCTAAGTGGGAAACTTGGAAGATGGGGTTTCTCTCTGGTCGCAGTATCAATATACCGAGCTGGGCAGGCCTAGTGGAGAGTTTGACATCGGCCGAGGACAATGGCATTGTATCCGATTTGATTGGCATTGCGATCTGATCGAAGGCGTGGCGAGGCGTCGCCATATGATATACTGTGACGGTGTTGTGCCTTCCCTTCATTTTTGTTTACAGTGTTACCTGGGGTCTCAGAATATCTAAGCTTCCAATCGTGGAATTCAGAGCGTAGATAGACTAGGGAGGTACAAGTAAATTCCTTGGGCTCTGCGATTGTACAATTGATTGATTCTCATGTTGGCTTGGTAGTTGACTATGCTGCTGCCAACGAATCTCTCATTTTGTACTTCACAAATCTAAGAATGTATCGATGAGGTCGGAGGGCTGCTCAAAGAAATCGAACATCACAATCCCCACTCGCTTGCCTTTCTGTCTTTCTAGGAAAGGTACTAGCTGCTGGTTAACCCCGCCAGCCGGCGTATAGTCAGTGCCGTTTCCCAGTGCCATGATCCTAGGCCAATCGGGAGGATTGTTTTCTATGTTGTTACTAGACGCCCAGGTCCAGAAGAGACTGTCCGGGTGTTGGCTAGTGGCTTTGCGGATGTGTTCTACTGTGGCGTTGTATTTCCACCTGATGTTCTCAATCGCACTGGACCCTGTCGCCGTGAGCGGCTGGTAGTAGTCTTCTATGTAGGCACTCAAGCTCTTGGCCGTGTTGTATTCCAGGGTGATATCTGGGTCGTTATCGGTCCAAAGACTAGGCGAGAAGTGCAGGCCGGGAAGTGCGGCTGTGTAAGAATCTGGAAGCTTGTCCAGGTCAAAGCGTCGCATGAGAGTGATCTTGCCACGCGAGTCACCCAGGGTGCCTAGTTCGTCGTTTGTTGGCATGAAATAGTGTCGCGCAACGGGGGAGGTGAGGATATTGTAAAGCTGCAGCTGCACGGCCGCATTGTTGGAGGCGTATAGGCCGGTCGAGCCTTGATACTGGAACGAAAGGAAAATAGTCTCCGAGGGGTGATCATCCAGCCACTGATAAAAGCCAAACAGCACATCATCGACTGTGGCTGTCTGCGAGAGCAGGGCCTGTGAATGGTAGAAGATAAGGGTGGTGTTTGTCGGATCGAAAGCATATCGCAGATCAAATGCCCGGATTCCCATATCGAGCATATCGATAAAAGGTGAATCTTGACACCGTAATGCCTCTGGCTCCGGAACAACAACCTGGTTGAGATCTGTGATGCCTTGCATGGCGTCTTGCGTCGCCTGGGTGTAATTCCATGTGGCACTGTCATGAGTGCCGGGAATGTTCATATGAACAAGCAAAGTTTCATCGGGATAGCTCTTCATCCATTCCGCTTTCCCTCCTGTGCTTTTTTTGTATGATCCAAATATTGGAGTGGCATTGTCAAGCACTGTCTGAAGTGCGAGATCCGCTAAGGCGGCAGACGCCAGGGGAAGCGCCATGGCCATAACAACTGCGACCTTCCACATCGTTTTGTAAATAGTTAGATTTCAGTCAACAGATACCGAAATATTGAACACAACATATGTACTAGGTAGCGTTATATATAGTGTTTGCTGGAAAAAAAAGCCCAGCCAATATTCTGCAAGGGGTACGCCAAGACCAGAGACGCAGTTGCCGGAAACATTGGGGAAACCAATTGTCGATCGCTTCAGCTAATCCACATCCGATGTTCAGAATGGTCGTTTAGCCCAAAGTCGGCTATACTATGTAGAGCCACATGGCTAATGGCACTCCCCAGGTTGGCTTGACGACGCCACGTGCACCGATTGCTAGGTCGCGACTGGTGCGACTGCGGTGGAGCTTCATTTTGTTTCTCGTCTTGGGTTTGCTAGCAATCAGTTCGGAAATCTACATATTCGAAGGTCTCCGACAGACTTGGTTTTTCTCACTTAAACCTATCTCCGTTATGCGCAGCCTCGTCTTGCTTTCTGTGGCAGCCTCAGTGCTGGGTCAAACCCCTGGGGACACCTTCTATCCCCCAACGCTGAATGATACATCATACATCAGCAACAGCTCGATTGGTACATATGGTGGTATCTATGAAGCTCCAACACATGGTCCAACTGGGGGCAGCCCCTACGGCACCTATGACTACTGTTCTATGCCGCATCCTCGTTCAGACGAATACGAGCTCCCCGATGCTCTAACCAACGGCTCAGCCAAGGGAAAGCTTGTGTACCTGGAGTATCTACAGCGTCACCAGCGGCGGACTCCGTACAACATTCTCCCAGGTGGGGAGGTAAGCAACTCTCAGATCCTGAGCTCGGCTCTCGGCTCAAACTAACTCCTTCCCCTAGAACCAAGCATATCACTGCGATGATGTGCGTCCGTATCTTTACGCAGGCCCCAACAGCGCAAGCGGCATCCAGCCCATGCCAATGTATGCACAGACATATCAGGACCCCACCAACCCCTTCACACCCAGCGTGAACGGCACCTGTCAGTACCCGCAGATCACCATCGGAGGAGTCCAGGACGGATATCAACATGGCAGGGACTTGTGGGGCGTCTACGGTAAGAAGCTTGGCTTGATTCCCGAGGAGCCAAACCAGCGCGTCTGGTTCCGCTCCAGTGAGTCTGCTCTCACCCAGGCCTCTGCGGGCGCCGTCCTGCGCGGCTTGTGGCCTCACTACAAGGGAGCCCTACCCCTGCACCAGATGGTTTCGTCTGTCGACACTGTCAACGAGGGATACTCTTGCGCTGCTGTCAGCTCTACTCTGTCGAGTCTGCAGTCTACCACACAGTGGAAAGAGCATCTAGCTGTCACAGAAGAGTTGCGCTCGAAGCTGGGCGCCATGTTGGGTGCGACCGAGAGTTCGTGGCAGAGTACCTTTGACCACTTTTCGGATAACTTCCAGGGACGTCTTTGCAACGGTTATGATCTGCCCTGCAGTCTGTCAAATTCTTCGGCCTGTGTCACGATGCAAATGGCCGAGGAGGTCTTCCGTGCTGGCGATTGGGAGTGGAACTATTACTGGCGCACGAACCCAGACGTGGTCAAGTACATCCAGGTTGTCGAGGGCTTGTTCATTGGCGAGATTATTTCTCGTCTACAAGCTGTCCTAGATGGGAAGTCTTCCCTTGATTACAGCCACGTCTTTATTCATGATGGGGATATCGGTCCTATCCTAGGTTCTCTGGGGATCGAGACACTTCGCTGGCCGGCCATGGCATCTAACATTGCATTCGAAGTTTGGTAAGTCAAATTGTCTTATGGTAAGCTAGGATTCACTGACAATTTTTCAGGGAGGCTAAAGATAGGGAGGATGGAAACTCTTTCTACGCCCGGGTTTTGTACAGTGGCCACCCCATACGAAGCATCCACGGTCTTCTTGACTGGGTTCCTCTCTCGGGGCTGATTGATATCATGAGGCCCTACGTCCCCGAGGATATTACCTCTCTCTGTGGATAGAAACAAGGTAGGGGTCGGCACCTTATGGTCTCATTAGATATTTCTAAGATAATCGTTTCAAAGTGATCCATTTCTAAAATTTATTCCCGTGCCAGCCAATCGGCACGCCCTCTTAATTCCAACCCATAGAAGAAACAGCACGGTTATTTTAGCCAGAGTGCTGCGGATCGTATCCCATAATTCAAACATACTAGCACTTATTCTCCGATGTAAATTACCACATAATATGGGTAGATCCCCGGCGTGCAAGCTAGGTGAGGTGCTAGCACTAACATTTCAAGTGCCGTCTAAGCACAAAAACCCAAAGAATGCGACTACTTACCTAGCCATTTCTTCTAGCCATGCTTCAGAAAAAGTACAATTATTCCAGGGACGAGAAACTCTTCGAGTATTATGTATTAATATTCTCATTATTTAACTATGACAATTTGTACGTTAGTCACTAAATATAACGCCGCTCTCTTTCTAATCGTTTTGCTCAACAAATATCCTGCAACAAATTGTCGTTAAAACTCGTAAGTAGGCAACCAAAAGATACACTCATTCCACCACCTCCGAGATAGCAAATTTGCTCAAAGCGCGAAGCCTACTACCATAGAAGTAAAGCAACCAGATACCAATGATACCAATGACGCTCAGTCCACCAAGAAGACTGACACCTCGAGCAACACCCAAGTTCCCAAACAGCGGGTGCGCAAACAGCACACTGCCACATGCAAGCGCACTGCGGAAGAAATCATTCGCAGCGAACAGACTAGCCGCGTATCTGGGGTAGGTGAGGGGAATATAAATGAAGATGCACTGCATGACGATGAATACCGTAGCGCCATAGATGGTGATACCAATGGTAGGCACAATCCAATGGATAGACGCACGAGCCGTCCAGGCAAAGATGAAAAGGCCAATCATAGGACCAAAAGATGCAGGCAGCGCAGGGACAAGGAAAGCCTCATTTACGGGGAAGCCGAAGCTGCGGATGCGACGATTCATCCAGAAGTGGATGTAGCTGGCGTAGATGGCAATTCCGATAATGCATGAAACCATGATACACAGGAAGACTAGACCAATCTGGCCGAGGTTCATGTTGTAGTCGACTGGATAGACCAAAGGGAAGACCTCGAAGAAGGAGTAGTAGATGCCGTAGATGATGGCCGTGTAGATCTGGACGAAGAGGACGGCGGGATCCTTGATGGTGATTTCCATGGGCTTGATCAGAGCGTCGACAGCAACGGCTGAGACCCGCATATTGCGCTGGTCAATTTCGGATTGCGACATGAAGCGGTTGTTATTGTGGATTTTACGTAGACGGGCGGCGCGTCGGAGCAGGATTGTTGCGCTGCTGGTTTCCGGTAGGAGCATGAACATCAGAATCAAAACCGGGGCGGAGGCCCAGATTGATTCGTAGAGGGACCAGCGCCAACCTTTGGCGGGGACGGCGAAGCCGCTGAGGAGGGGGCCAAGAGCAGCTGTGAAATCAAATTAGCATATGGACATGTATTGGGTATATATTGGGCGTGTGTGGAGTGGGAAGAAACTTACGTCCACAGTAGGCTGCAGAAACCCAGGCCATCATGGCATAAGGCAGGGCCATGAGGCTATACAAGTCTCCAATGGAAGCACCTCCAGATGCAAGACAGGGCGACCCAAAGAACCCTTGCAGAAAGCGTAGCACCATGAGGCCAGCGAAGTTATCAACCAAGGCTGTTGGAATGGAGATGATCACGAAGAGGAACATTGTGACGATGTAGACTGGGTTGCGTCCAATCACGGGGATTTCACTCAGTGGAGAGAAGACCAAGGGCCCGATACCATATCCCAGAACATAGAGTGACAACCCCAAAGTAGCGACCAAGGTGCTCACGCCAAACTCCTTCATGATACCCTCTGTTGAGGAGGTGTAGATGGCAGAAGTGGTATACACCACAAAGGTATATAGACAGATCATGGTAGTGATGAGAGCACGCTTGCGATTGGACCAGTTGTGTGGATTCTCCGAATCATCGGTATAGTACCAATCCACAAGGATGGAACCGTCCTTTGTTTTTCTGGGGGCGATGGGGATAGATTTGACTTTTTCGATTTCATGTTGTTCGTCAGCCACGAGGCGAGCTTCGGTGAATTGCATGGATGTTTCGGTAGAAGCCCTGCTTAGGGGCTCACTCTGTTCATGGTTTCGGTTAGAGCCTTGTTGAGTGACTTTCTTTTCATTGCTTTCATCGCTAGAGTTCAACAATTGGAGCCATGTGTCGGGAAGCTTGAAGTCGGGCTTTTCTTCGGGGTATTGGAAGTATTTATTCTTTGTCAAAAGACGAACAAGCTGCCCGAATGGGGCATCTCGAATGGCAGATTCCATTGGATAGGAACAAGAGAGACACCCTTAGGCGTTATAGTTTAATGTTGAATTGGATGATATATTATGAAATCAAACTTGTATTGAGAGGAATGGACAGACTATATACTTCTCAAGCAATACCCTATACCTTTCGAAACGTTTTAGTAATGACTGGAATACAAGTATTAGGAATCAAATGAGAAATCAATTGAAAATTCAATTGAAAAATTACTAATTCCAAAGCAAAGGATTTAATGATCGATAATCGGATATTACACCGATCCATGGATGAGTTTAGAGTCACCAATCAGGAGGACGCCATCCCAAGATCTCGTATATATCAATTCATCCGACCCCGATCCCGTATAAGGTTATCCGTATATTCTACCTGGAACTGGTGGATAGGGTTTGTATTGAATACGAGCTTATTATCTCTGACTCATCACGTCATTATAACCTTGGAACCTTGGAAGGTTCTGGCCGTTATATCTCGTACTTGGATTCGTCTTGGACGTTTTTGACATCTTTCAGTATCTCCATGACGCATAGTTGCATAAGTTAAAATAAAGTGGTAGCTTCAAAAATAAAAAAATATATTGTGTATAATTGGACAAAAAAAATAATTTTTATCACTAGCCACAGCTCCCAAACGCCAGGGCTTAAATAGGTACATGTGCACGCCAAACCCCCTGCCGACACCGACTCGTTGATAAAGTTATAGTGGTAACAAAGGAAGATAAGATATACAACCCGAACTGGAATAAAAAAAAAACACATGAATCATTGCACATGAGGCATTAACAGGCTCTCGTCGACTGGTTCCCCTAGTATGGGATGAAATCGAACTGCATTCGTTCTATGAATGAGATGTTGTTAGCATGAACAAAGGAACCGCTAAGAAAAGTTCTTACCGAGGAAATGGCTCCAGTCTTCTTCCTCGCTGAGTTGGTTAGACCAATACTGCTCGAGGAATCTCAATGACTGAAGAACGTTTGGAACGCGAATAGTGTCATGTAAGGATGATAGCAATTGCCTAACTGTATCTCGATCCTGACCACGCGCTTCGCAGCCCGCAATAAAGATTGGTGTCGTTAACATCACCCAAGGCGAGAGACCTGACGATGGCCCAATCTGCGCGGTACACTCCAGGATACGCTGGACCGACTGCTGCACTTCTGGCGAGGTAGTTGGTGTTTTCCGAAGTCGTCGATGAATCTGGATAAGCGCACTGTGTTGGAATGCCTCATTGCATAGCAGGAGCTGCTGAGCGCTCTCCGCAGACAAGCCTTCTGCGGCCCTAGGGTAAAATGAGGGCTGCGAGTTTGAGTCACGACTCATGAGCTGTCGAATTGCGAACTCCAAGGACGCAGCATCATCCTCAACACTGCCGTCAATCTCTCCTGCAACAAATCCCTGGGTAGCCTTCTCAATTTCATGACTTCGCCAGGCGGCAGCACCGATCTGCCTAAAGACAGCCGCAAGGTCTACGCTGAAACCCCAATAGTCATCTAAGTAATCAGTAGACCCGCCTAACCCCATCAAATCAGACGAGGCGAAGTCTGAAATATCTCCAATTGGTGGACCATTGCCCGTCAGTGCCGTAAGCGACACGATCGACCAGTACCAGCGATCCAAATACCGCCGGAAACCGCTTGTAGACCGCAGGGAATCCTCACCAGCGGCGTCCGATGCCCTCATCAATACCCTCGCCCCATCAATATGTGCTCTCCACGAGTTCGGGTTGATCGCCCCAGAATGGATCTCAGCTAGACAGAGCGTCCGAGCCGTCGCCACCAACGCCTCGGGGTCCTTGGACGAGGGATTCTGCAACTCTGTTCTGAAATGTTCAAGACTGAGAGCCATTAGCCGGGCGATATCCGGTGCTGATTTTACGCTTTCCGACTGGTTGTGTAGGGCTTGGATATGAATCGCCGATAGGGCCGTGGTAGCGTAGAGTAGGGAGGGAGTCTGAAGAGCCATTGGGATCAGCATGCGACATATGTCCTGCTGCATTCCCGAATGGCACGCGGTGATTTGAGAGGCATCGTTGATAAAATGGTGTAATAAGGCCTTTTGACTGGACGACAAGGACGAGAAGGGATCGACGGGTTGCGACAGAGTGAGATCTGATCCGGGTTTGGCGCTGGCTGACTGCACCGCCGTCTTGGTGGTGTAGATGAACTCTCCTGGTGAATATTCTGGAATGATCAGAACTATGTACAAGATCCCTCTGGTATAGAGTACATACCGAGTCTCTGCATGCCTCCTGTCCCGACGCAAGCACCAAACCTGGAGCGCGAAAACGCCCGTCCACCCCACTGCAACTGCATTGCATATTGGCATTGCTCGCCTGCAGTCTGGCAGCGACCGCAGTTCGGTCTCTGCTCGTCACATTTTTGTCGGCGTGCCTTACATCTCTTGCAACCTGTGAAGGATCTCGACATGAGTGCAAAGGGTTGGTGGGATGATCTTCTCGGCGAAGAATTCCTGCGGGGAATGGAAAGCTCCTCGGACATAACCCGCCCGGCAAATATAATTTCTGGGGAACAACAACAGGGGGTTCAAGTTATTACATTGGATTCTATAGGGAGCGATAGGGAGCGATCAACGGGTAACTCGTGTTCTTCTCTTCTCTTGTTGCATCGTTGCACATCTTGGGTTCTTTAGCGGTCGATCCCAAGATCCACCGGTTGGAGTATTGGAATATCAAAATCTAGGGGCTATGAAATTTCATAGATGAATATGATTCTAAGATCCCTCCAAAAAAAAAGGATCCGAGTATGCGCTATGGCAAGAAAATACAGAGTACATGCCTACCAGAGTATATGTTCATCCTGGAAAGCCATCAACATATCAGAAAAGTCCTCTTCAGGGGATTAGCCCTCAAAGGTATATCGAAGCCATTCACCGACGGCGTGCAAGCTCTCCCATCGTACTGATTCGTCTTGATCAACCATCAGTTCCATCACCCGCGTCTTTAAGCCTAGTCGCTCCAACTGCCCGCGGCGTTCAGGAACCTCCTTCACCAAGTGCCCTACGTCGCTGCAAGCAATAGCCAGCACCTGCTTGTCGTTCTCCCAACTCTTAGACAGAATTTCGGCCAATTTCTTTGGCAAAGCGCCGTTCGACTCCTCAACAATTCGTCGAGCGTTATCTTTCCAGAAGGTCGGGTTCTTGTGAGGGGGCGACCAGCGGAGGTGGCCCGTTTGAACTTCGGCAGCATATTCGTCAAAGGTTGTCTGTGTCTTGGTGTATTCATCCAGCATGGAAGAGAGCGCGCTGAGATCCTCGAGCAGGTCGGGGTCAGTCAGGTGACGACCAGCCAAATTGGTCAGGAGGGCGGGGAGTCGAAGGAACACGGCGATGGGCAGCAGAGTCGTCCGGTTACTGGAGCAAAGACTATACAAAGTTGCAACGAGCAAGCGAGTTGTCTTTTCTTTCGGTGAGAGACGCAGAAGGTGGATATAAAGTTGGATAATCTCATAGTTCCTAAGTGGGGTCAGTAGGCGCTCAGAGTGTCAAGCTATCGCTCGTCGTCACATCACTTACTCTTGAAGTTCCTCGCCAACGAGAGCGCCCTCGAACGCAAGCTGCCACAGAACAAGGAGCACCCGATATAGAAGCTGAAGGCCAACACCGCCGGCGAGACTAGGCTCGACGCTGCGAGTGCTGCTTCCCAGTATGCTTGCGTTGCTCACGTTGTCTTTAGCTCCAGCCGCAGCTCGAAGAGTGTCGATCAAGGGGGTCAAGGTCTCTTGACGTTGCGCCCAAAAGATCTCTCGGGCTCGGCTTGTTCTCAGCAGCTCTGAGAATCCTTGGACACCGATGTCCTGGAGCCCACTGTCCTGGTTCTTGGTTAAGGTGGAGAGGTAGGTGTAGAGCTGTGGGAGAGCCTCGTTGTCGCGCCGGGCAGGTTTGGATGAAGCAACTAGACTGTGCGACACGAGCGCCGTGAGGAAGGTGGACGTGAGCAGAGGAATGGGGTCTTCAGCGTTTGTCGAGTGCTGCAGGAACGGTAGGAAGGGCTTGTACGGTTCTGAGTGAGAAACAAGCGAGTTGGCCAGAGAAGGCACATCTATTAAATATTAGATCAACATTATTCCTCAGCTTCAGTTCTTCCAGTACCATATACCTTGAATCAAGTCCGAGGCTAGCACCAGTATATACTGCACAATATCGGTCCTTCGAGAGGCTAAGTCCAAGACACTCTTTCCCTGCGCGCCGCCAGCCAACAGATCTGTGTATCCAGCGAGATCTCCTTCTACCGTCTGGCGGCGTTGATCCTTGCGCACCTTATCCACCGCCTTGATCTTCCTCAAGTGGTCATCGGTGATGTTGCCCGCTCGGACGGCACCCTCCCACGGAATTGGTCGAGCTCGAATGTTATTCTGGAGGGAGCTGAGGTAGGTGGGTGGCTCCAGTGACATTGTGAGTGTAATATGGGAGATTTGGAGCCAGAAAAAGGAGCGTCGCTGGCTGTGAATGATACAAACTGGAGGTGTGTCCAGAGAGACGGGGGAGCTTGAGGATGACGGAAGCCTGTGCCAAGACCGACGGTATCTCAACGCATAGCCTCAACTTTTGTTTTCTGTTCTCTATTTTGATTCTCGCTTCCTATTTCTCTATCGTCTTTCTTGTTTCTATAGGTCTTTTTTCGCCGATCCTTTGACTCACATTCACTGTCTTATCGGTCCAGCGCCTTAATCTTTGTTCGGATTCGGATTCCCGCCTAGTACTTTGAATTCGGCTTAATCCTGCCACTCACTCTCTCTTTCATTTCGCCCTCGCAGCAAGTCCTTGCCATTACCGCCTAGGCTTCGACACATCTAGCAAGAATTGTCGTCGAATTGACTCTGAAAACGTCCCCCAGACGATAATCGCAGGTCGACGTCCGAGCGCAGCCCCCACCGAACCCATGGGAATGCGACACGAGGCATTTGCCGCTTAGTAGCCTGTCCGCAATTTCCAATACAGTAATTCTACCACGATGGCACAGAATTCGCAGACACAGAAGCCAAAATGGGGCGTGGGTTCTTTTTTCCAGCAGGCAGTAGCCGGTGTCGAGTCTCGGCTGGATCACATCTTGATGGATGAGGAGGGAAACCAGGCCGACTCTACTGCAAAGCCCGCTGAAACTCAAGGCGGAGAAGCGCCACCGACAAAGGCTCCTATTTCATGTATGAAATCCACAACATATGTGCGAACCAGTAGAACTGGCTAACATCTTTCAGCGGTTTCCCGCAGTTCATCGACCGCGCGAAGAAATGACCGGCTTCAGGAACGTCTAGCCCGAGCTATGGTGAAACAAAATACCTCGAATCTCTCTTCCCAGTCTCCTCAGAGCCGAGTCTCATCACCGCCTGCCAGCCCGGTACCCAGCAATGGAGCTCGGTCGAGTATGGACATTGATTCCAGTGTTGCATCGGTGAATAGTGCAGTGGAAGACCACAAGGTCTCTCAGCCCAATGACGACAGCAGTGCAGCTAAATTAGCTTCACCAAGGATAAGCTATGACTCTGGGGTATCACCGCGTGTTTCAATGGACATCAGCGTCGCAGACTCCCCGCCGAGGAGCTCTGTAGATGTAGCTCAATCATCAACCGCCTCGGCCAAAGCTAGTCAAGAAATGTCCGATTCGCAACGCAATGAGGTGCTGAGTGAGATTGCTTCGCGCGATAGTCCGCGGGTTAGCATTGAATCGCCATCAGAGATACCGGTAGAAGCTGAAACCCCGGATATCGCGCGCTTGCAGGCTGAGCATAAAACTGTCGAGTCTCAATGGCAAGATGAAATGCATGGTTATATTGAACGTATTGATGCGTTGCAGTCGAAATTGAAATACCTGGCCAAGGACGCTGCGGAATCGGCTAAAAATGCTGCGGCAAGTGCCACCCCAGGCAGCACGCAAAAGCAGCTCCTAGAGAAAGATGAGAAGATTGCATTGCTTCTCGAAGAAGGGCAGAAGCTGTCTAAGTCGGAGATGGACCATCGCACGGTGATCAAGAAATTGCGTCAGCAACTTACTGAAAACACCAAATCTCAGACTGAAATGAAGAGAAAGACGGACAAGCTTGAGCGAGACTTGGTCAACTCGGAAGCACGAGCGAAGCGGGCAGAGGCCGCAGAGAGGAGGGCAACCGAGTCTTTGTCATCCCAAACAAAGTCGACTAAAGACTTGGAAGCTGTTACCAATGAACGCAATGCGCTCAGCCAGACTGTCCAAGAGATCAAGTCGCAATTGAGTCGTGCGGTTTCCCGCGCCGAAACCGCCGAGACAAAGGCGAACTCCGATGCCCTAGAGCTGGAGAAGCAACGGGCGACGGAGCTAGACGAGGAGCTAAGCAACCTGAAGATTGAGCGCGACATCAGCGAAGAGAAGTCCAAGAGGGAAATTACCGAGTTGAGGGAGAAGATAGAGCAAGAGAAAGAAAGGGCTCGAATGCTCGAGGCCGAATTGAAAGGCGAACAGTCTGTCCTAGAAAGCAAGATGGAAAGTCTTCGCTCCCGCGCAGAGGAAGCTTCATCGGGGGCAACGGGAGAGACGCAAGCCAAACTTTTGCGTCAAATTGAGACTCTGCAAACTCAATATGCTGCCGCTAGTGAGAACTGGCATACACTAGAGGGCTCTTTGCTCTCACGCGTGGCTAGTGTGGAGAAAGAGCGCGATGATGCCGGTCGACGTGAGATTGACCTTCGGAAGAAGATTCGAGAGATGGTAAGATCACAAACTCCATGGCTTGGTGCACCGCAAGATTAATCAACATCAATGTAGAACCACAAATTAAAGAAGTTCGAAGAGGAACTAGACAATGCCAAAGAAGCTGAGCACGATTTGGACAGCAGGCTCGAGGAACGCATGGAAGAGCTGCAGAAGCTACAACAGAAACTCGAGAAAGCGGCAGAGGACCTCGCCTCGACACAAAGAGATATGGCCGAGCAGAAGAAAACATGCGATGCAACGTGGGCGCAAAAGCTCGAGGAAGAGCGGGCCAAGTGGAGAGAGCAGGTAAACTCCCCGTCACAACTGCGTGGAGTATCACCCGTTGCATCTCTACGGCGATCGAGCACCCTCGACGCCATGACCCCAGGGCTGTCGGACTTCCGCCCTCCTAGCCGGCGCTCATCTACTATGGCTTTCACCTCACCGGAAATTGGCACGCCGCCTCGGCAAAATTCCTACCCTGCCTCAATCACCCAAGCCACGCTTTCTCCCCCACACATCAACACCCATCCATCGATCCTTGCAGCGCCCTCCATCAGCTTTGAGCCGGAAGAGTACTTCGAAGATTCCGGTACTCCTGCCACTCCTTCAGCATACGGCGGCACCCAGGCACCTCCATCGCGCGGTATCAACGACATAATTTCCGAGTCAACCGTCGGTGCCGGCCCTTCTGTGCAGCTTGTCGAGCGCATGAGTGCCACCGTCCGCCGGCTAGAGAGCGAGCGCGCTGGCTCCAAGGACGAGCTAGCCCGCGTGACGACTCAACGCGACGAAGCCCGGCAACAAGTTGTGGACCTTATGCGTGAGCTCGAAGAAAAGCAGCTCTCGGATTCCCGCGTGCAGGAACTCGAAGCTGAACTCGAAGACCTTGACCAGCGCTACCAAACCACTCTTGAAATGCTAGGCGAGAAGAGCGAGCAGGTTGACGAACTCAACGCTGATATCGCTGATCTCAAGAAGATCTACCGCGAGCTGGTTGACAGTACTATGAAGTGAGGGCGAACTAGTTAGATGTTTTCCTACCATTTAGTGAGCCGCCAGCAGGACGATTCTTGGCTTGGATTTTTCATGCTTAGACTCACACCACTCGGGTTTGTAAATAGAATATATATCCTGTCCTGTACAAATTAATCAGTCATACAACGAATTAGCTCCTACATCACAGCCCACCTTCCCATTTAGGCGGAGCAGTCATACCTGCCCCGGGGCTGAGGTCACTTTGACTTCGGAAAATGAGACTTACACAGGCGAGATCGGAGCACGCGATAATTTCCAAGAAATACTCGTATTGTCTATCCAAAACGTGCCTTCGTGATTATTTCAGATATCAGCAATACCATAAGCGCCTTTCTACAGAGTATTTATTCCACTCTATCTCGAATTTGTTATAAACATATCAAGAAGATGAGGAATGCACTGAGTTCCCAGTGCCCGGCCTAAACTGCACCAGCTGCTGAGAGCTTTCAGCCTGCTTTCTATCCCAACTCGCAAGAAGAACATTAAGTAGTTCATTGGCGACACCCAACAACAAGAAAATCGCAATAACCTGTCCAAATGTCCATCCTTTCTCTTCGGGGTCGAGGTTGTTGCGATGGATAGTCTGTTCAAGCGAAACAATCAAGTATATGCAGAACGAACAGTATGCGACCTTGTTCAGTGTGAAGTTGAGCAGCGCCTTGCCATGCAGCCTCTCAGGTGGCTCAAGACGATCTTGGTAAACAGGATGATTAACCTCCACAAACCAATTCATCCAACCTCTTTTCTGACCCTCGATCCTGTTTCCAGCGTCGGGATGCCGCCTCCGGTGCGCAACATACCCACACAGACACGGCAGCATACACGTGAAAGTAAGAGCATAACCAGCCACAACTGCACCCAACGTCCCCAGAATGATATACCGGAATACAGGAGAAGTGGCTTTGATGCTGACACCGAAGACGACATACACCGTATCCTTGTTGCACTGAGGCTGGCTGCCAAATTGCGGCGCCTTCACCCAGACATAGACGTTCAAAGCGAGGAAAACCGCCAAAGCCAGGAGCTGGATTGCGGAGAAAAATACAGTCGCCATGGGCCGAGTCCTGCATACCGACCTTTGCTTACCATATTCATGCCAAGTATGGCGAGAAGGTGCACAACGCATATCGCGTGGAAGAGTGTTAGGTCGCCCCGAACTGTCTGGTAGATTGCTGTGCAGAGGAGGGCTAGACCTTGCAAGCCGAGGGCGGAGGAGACGCCACGCGAGAACTCTTCTTGGTCTTCGCCTGGGGCAAATACGCCGAGTAGATAGCTAATGATCGACCCACCTAGGCAGAGGGTGTAGATCGATATACGGATCTGTGGATGCTGGCTTAGCTAGGGTTTCTTTCAAGCTAGGGAGATAATTTGTGACAGGATGAAAATAATGGCACATGAGACGATACTTACTCCGACCCCAGATACGTCCGGGTTAGCCTCGATGACACAGGCTGTTGAGTTCATCTTGTGCGGCACAATGATCGTTGCAACGACTTTCTAGGCGATGTGCTACAGCGACCTGCGTGAAGGAGTGAGACGTTCTATATCTTAGTCTCGGTTCAAATATCCAACCTACCTTTTACAGTCCTCGATGGGGCTCTCTCGGTTCGCATGACGAAAGGGCCAAGGAAAGGAAAAAGCCCAACTAAGCAGTAGCATTGCGCCACGATACCCTGCGATCACCAGTCAAAAACATCATTCTTCAGAGTTGGGTAAAGGGAAAAAGGCGGCTGAGTCTGCCAAGATAACCTTTATCGCACTGGGATTGGATCGCCTCAGGATGCCCCATATGGCACCCCGAACGATGCTTACTGCAGGAACCGCTAAGGCCGAATTAGGGCTGGTTAGGCAACGCCAGGGACTAAGTCTCGGTAAATAAGCCCGTTGATTGGTCAATCGGGAACTGTATAGTAAAAATACTGCAACCCTTCGTTTAATGCTTCTGATTGACCCGTTTCAGTGAGTAAACCGGGCCATGAGCTTTTCAGCCTCTCCCAACGTCATCCGTATGACCCCCGAGGCTTTTGGCAGCGAGAAATGGGGAGCTTGCCTATCTACCCAGTCTTGGCTAACAAATCCGATTGCCTTATAAGACATCCGCTCTCATTCTCAGTGCCAGGCATATATTTTGACCTGTTGAATCGTTACTACTTCTATTACAGTACATGAATCGAACTGGTTGTTGCTAATAGTTCTTACCATGGATATGGATAATGTTAACCGTCCTGCCATCAACAGTAAGTCCAAGTTTCCCTACCCATGAACCCTAAGGAAACCGGGATGAGTCCCTCCTTCCGATTTTATCATACTTCAACCCAATACTTACTTACTCTAGTATGGACGTTCTTCGCCCTGGCTGCTTTGGACATCGCAGTAAACGCGGCCGCTGGTCCAGCTGCAGTGGCGACCGCCGCGCATGTCAATGGGAGTCCACTGACGGCGAGAGCAATGCAAATCGGTGCTCTCGCTGGAGTCACTAAATCAGGGGTGTTGGCGTTCGTCGAATTCGCGGGGTTCGCGGGCTTGCCAACCCCCGCGTGGATACTGTTGGTTCTGGTGGCAAGTGGCTTTGGGATTTGTGTCCTGGTCACGGCGGAGGTTAGCAATTTGGTTCTTGGAGAAAGTGAGTGTAAACCCGTCTCTGAAGTATTGTTCAGCTCGAGCTCTATGCTATGCGACTTGAGTTGGTTGTTATGATTATGAGGTATCGGGTGATTGTGGCTAACGGTATATAGCACCAAGCGCATTGCTTATTGCGGCTGTTGTCGCTGCTATTCCGCTTGCAGGAGAATGTATTGGGTTATATGAATGTAAGTCTATTTTCTTCGCTTTGTAGCTTTTCGTTGCTAATCTTGTGTTGTATCTCAGCGGCTGGGGGGCTATATGGTAGCAAACCTCAGACACAACTTTGTATTATGGGCTTCGATGCCTTGGGGGGATACGTCTTTGCTCGTATGGCACATAACGGAGGTTAGCTGCTGTCTCTCCTTTATCATGAAAGCTTTGGGGGCCACTCTATTCCTGTTGCATTTGTTGGGATATGATTTGACTAACACTTGAAATGTGGATTTGTAGGCTACGATATCTGTCCGTACAATGTTGCTGCTGCCGCTGGGGCTGTATATGGTGTCATAACCGGTTTCTTCCATGTTATCCTTGGGTGTATGGCCGGATTTACCTTCTATGAAAGCACAAATGGACATTATGAAATACGCAATGTCTTCGGGACTGCGCGAGGGTATAACCCCAATTGGAATAATAACATTGGGGTTTGATTATAATATGAAGGAGACTCTTTTCTTGTCTGCACACCAATGTTCTCCTGTGGTCTTTTTATACCCTCTCGGTATGTAGCCTCGAAATATACGAACAAGGATTCTGATTCAACATTCCATTCCATATGTTTTACGTAGTCTGATAGTCAAGTCCCTAAAGGTTCTTCCGCATCATGCGCTCACTTCCGAAAGAGGCACGTTAGTCACATTCGTTATCCTGCGCAACACTATACAACGCAAGTCATGCATAACTACTTCTAAGGTTAGCATCTTCATGTCTTCATCTGGAATGCTTAAGCGCTCTCGCAGCAGTTTTCTCCATTCAAAGATCCATTCATATTACATGGAATCCAAGGCGAATGCTTTCCTTCAGTCTTTTGATATTAGGTAACTTGTCCTTGGTCCTCGAGTGTTTGAACTTTTTCATCTTTGTCGACGACAAAGATGGTAGGCTAGGGACAGACAGTGGGAGCCGAGCTAGAATATGAATGTGTGAAGGAGGACGAAGAGGGGGGCTGGTTGGGACGTCGCGCCTTCCAGATGATTTCAATTACCTCATTACCTCATTGAGCTACAGTTGTACGCAGGTTGGGAAGGAACAAAGGCTGGTTTAGTATTTTGACCGTAATCTTTGGGTTTGAGCCAGGATCATATCGGAACCGATGGATGAGACTATTCAGGTGCCTTATAGAAAAAGTTTGAGGCTAGGACAATCGTACCCTCTTTTGTTTGTCGTGGGTCCACATGCAGTACAACACTTCGGATGGGCACCGTGGACGGGGTTTGATGTGTATAAGCCAAAGATTGCACCCAATATCCTAGGAGCCCAGCATAACTCTGTTTTATTCTATTCAGAAACAAAGTATAAATAGCGAGGGGCCCTGAAACAGCGTAAATGCAGCATTGAGACATCTAGCCGCCCGATGGATCTAAACATTTTCAACTGCTTCTAATGATAGAACGGCAGTTGGGATTTAAACAAAGGGTGAAAATCACTGATCGCCGAACGGGCGCGAGCTATGTTTTAAAGTCTTCGAATGTAAGACAAGATCAAGTGAGACATGGTCTAGACTACACAGGGGAGAGTGGAGCAAACGGGGGGGTGCATAAGCCACCTTTTCTTTCCTGACGTGCAGGTGGACTGAGACAGCTACAATATATGTTGACTACTCCGTACGGAGCCGGAGGTGTTGAATTGAAAGTCAGGCGCATGTGCTTTGGACACAGTAACCCAAAATATTCCCAATTCATCCCTAAAGATTGAATACCAAAAGCGATATAATGTACTCTGCACTATGTTGTACATAACAACTCGGAACCGTCATAGCTAGAGTGGAGCCTGATGGACCAGCCCTACACAATTTAGAATTAATTTCACACAATAGATCAAGCCACCTCGTATGGCTATTTTTGTATCACCGTTGCCGGGATGGTAACGTCCAGGCTAATTTACTATGTTGTACATATATGGTAAGTAGTAAGACCAGTGAAACAATTGTCTCCATAGGGGATAACACGGCGCGAGTCCTAGAAGTCGCATAAACGCTCCGTGTACTCCGTAAAACCCGTATAGATCGATAAGGGGTTGATGACACAATAAATTCTATAATATTTAATATTTTCGGACCTTACTCTTAACTAAGGGTAGTCTGATGATTAGTGCTGGGCCGTTTCTTCACACAAGAGATTGAGAAGTATACATGGGCATCAATGTACAACTTAGAGTTTGAACCCTTGAGCTCTGAGCTGGAGCAAGGAGCACATAATTGTCCAATCAGTTCCAGGTGCGAAAACAATCCATATGAAATGCAGTAATTAATGTCCTTTTAGGTGGGGTCTTCAGCAGCTACTTGGGATTCAACTCTGTACGGAGTAATGTCACATCAGTGGACTGTCCGGAGCAAAAACCACGATCATATTGGCCAACTTCCTGATGTGACACGATGCAGGAACAGGTTCCTTAGCACCTAGGCGCTTAGCCCGTTGAAGCAACACATGCCGGGCCACGCGCTGGTCCGAGTGTCTGGCGAGACGCTGTGTCGATCGACGTCTCACTTTGATTGGACACGGCTGAGTGATCGTGCAGTATTGAATTCAGCACGTTCTTCTGCCAGGGAATACTTTGGTCTTTTCACAAAATTGAGAAGCTTGGACTAGAGACGGAGCTCCCAAATGGGAAAAGGGGCAGCATTTCCACAGTGGGAGAGGAGTGTTTTTTTTTTTTTTTTTTTTTTTTTTTTTCAAGGACCCCTTAATTTACTACACACAATTAAATATGTACATATTGAGTCCAAATCTCCATACGGAGTAGGTGAAGTTATCTACAAAAACTATATGAAATATATAATTTGAATGTAGTATAATAGTAACGTTGACAACGATGACTTACCATGTCAAATATCAAATTGTAGCTATGAAGTACTTAAAAGTACTTTTAAGTATTAAAGATAAGGGAAGTTACAGAAAAGTACTAAAAAGTACATAATCGGTACGGGACTACCCCTGAATTGCCAAGCATTAGCCCGGGCCAACCTCTTCATCTCCACGACTCAAGGGGTTCTTTGTGCCACTTGACACTATTGAATGTTCTATTTTCATATTTTGAACCATGTCACCATATGCTCCATATGGAGTGTCCGTACGGAGTAATTCCGTATATAGATACAGTATAGAACATCTCACGGAGTCCGGACTATCAATGAGGTCGTCAACCCTATCACGCTTCAGTGTAGGTTCAAGTGATGTCGATCCTACCGGCCGGAGCACCATTGCACGATGTATCGTACCAATCGAATCCATGCAATTCCAGACCCACGCAAGCCCCCCCCTGCGCTCCACCCACGCTTACTCGTCCCGAAGCCAGCGCTAATGAAATGGAGAAACCCATGGGCAGTTTGCGCCAATCGCCCCGGCTTGTCCTGTACCAAGACTTTCTCCTTTTCTCCCATTTCCCTTCTCGTTTGATATTCTCCTGAGAATAATCCTTACCCTTTTGGTCGTCTCATTGGCGCGTGCCATTCCCTTTCCCGTGCTAATCGGTATGAACGACCGTCGATCCATGGCTATTTTTTGATACGGACCAGGGTGTTTCATGGCGTCTCCTGTTGGGTTTGGCGGCTCTCCCGCCCATTCAGAGAGCTACTCTAGTTTCAATCCCCCTCCAACTACTCCAGTGCGAAGGAAACCTCTCCCGCACAATGGTGATCCAGTGACTTCGGGCCCTGACCACCCCTCCTCTCCCGTTTCGTTTGAGGGAGATAAACCCACTTCAGTTCCCACTGCACCCGTGGCCAGGCCACTATCCCCTTTATCAGTGGATGGAGACTCATATATATCGGTACAAAAGAACGCAAATAGGTACGCGACTAGCATGACCCCGGTTTTTCCTCTCCCGAATCTTTCTGCAGACCCTCCTTTTTTCTCCCCGGCTACCTACTTTGTACCAATCAAGCATGATATGGCCTATACATGATATTCCGCTTCTCCACAGTCTGGAAGGCTAATCGCGTGCCCCTGTCCCAACTCCCCAGATATTCCCGAGGACGGAACCCTACCCAACCCCTACACATCGATACCGCCGCTTCCCGCCACGGCTCCGCCTCGTACTTGAGATCCGTGCTTGAGGACGACGACGACGACGAAGAAGAGGGTCCCTCTTACTTTGACGAAGAATACGAACATCAGTACCAGTTCATGAATGGAACGCCCCTGCACAGTCGTCTAGATAGCGAACCATTCATCCCGGTCCTCAAATCCCCTCCTCCAACGAAACGATCGTCACGACGGGCAACGAGCATGGCAGTACATGCACCTATGAACAGACCACCTCCACTACACATCGACGTGGATCCGCGTTCTATATCAATGTCAATGGGTGCGGGAGATCCCAGACACCCTAAAACCCCTGGAAGCAAGATCAGCTCCTTCTTCGGCTGGAAGGCGGCGAATAATAATACAACTACATCCCCTGGAGGCGAATCATCAAGCACCGAGATCTCCGACTCCGGTCGATCAGCAATGCCTTCCCCCATGCCACCATTAGCAAACGTCCCTTTCAAACCCGGGTCTCCATACGAATCCAAGTCCAACGGATATGGTCTTCCGGCGCGGACCCCTTCACTGGGGGCTTCGAGTTTAAAGGAAAATATATTTATGTCCAAGATGGCAGACATAGAGAATGAATTACGAGAGATAAGCTCCGAATTGGCGGGATCTATCCGCCGAGAAATGGATTTGGAGGATCTAGTCGAACGGCTACAATTAGAAGGACCGGATGTCAATCGACGGACAAGTGACTATTTCTCGGATTCGGGCACTAGCTCTGTTCGCTATGCCTCAGATGTTGGGAAGAGCGAAGATGTCGAAAAGATTCGCCGTGCTGCAGAGCAAGAACGGGCACAGCTCAAGGTCGAATTATCGCAGAAGTTGCAGGACGAGCGGTCTCAACGGTTGGCATCAGAGTCGCATGTCCAAATCTTGGAATCTCAGGTTCAACAGGTACGGCTGGCAGACTATGCGCGACATACGACTACTGCTAACATTTATTTAGCTTCGACGCGAGAGAACGGATTTGTCCGATTTGTCGTCGAAAAATAAAGAACTCGAGACCGCCCTGGAAAATACCAAGCGGAAGCTTCTCGAAGAGCGGCAATCCAAGGATAACTTCGAGGACCTACTTACCGCCATGCGAGTAGAGTTGGAACAATTGCGTAATGACCGAGATCAACTTCGAGATGACAACAGGCTCGTGGAGGAAATTGAAGCTTTGAAAATTGAAAATGCCTCTTTGGCTCAGCTACAGGGTGGTCGATTTGCTTCAATCGCCGAGGAAGGGAGCTCACCCAGAAACTCGGCATTTGGCGTATCACGATCGAGCTCCGTTGCACGCAAGCCCAGCGGCTTAGCTCGCTCGGGTTCGCTTTCTCGGTCCAACTCTGTCAATAATAATAACGGCGGTAAACCATCAGAAACGCGTGAATCATTGGTTGATAAGGTCCACGATATCGAGGTTCAACGTGATGCCCTCCACCGAACATTGCGGAGTCTCCTCGACCGCCAAGCATACCAGGCCCGCGAGTACGAAAAGCGCACTCGTATGCTCGAAATGGAGCTTGCTCAAGCCCAGCAATCCGGTCAGCCACGAAAACTGGGCTATGAGAGAGATGTGCGCAACCTGCGTGACGAGGTGAATCATCTCCGCATGCGCGCTGAGGATGCCCTGGATGGCAAGTGGCAGTGCGAGAAGAACCTCGCTGGTCTCAAGATGGATCTGGACCGTGCTGAGCAGGAGACCAGCTCTCTACGCGCGCTTCTTCTTGAGGACACTGCCGCCGGTGCAGAGTTGATGACCGGCCAAGAAGGCTTTGCTGAGGTCGTGACCACCTCCTCTTCCCTACAATCTGCATTCCAGCAATTGCAGGCGGATCAAGCTGAGGCTGAGACGGATGTTAAGGACTCGGAAGAGCTTGCTTCCTCCCTTCTTCGTACTGAGGCACTGGGCAGCAAAGTCCATTACCAGCTTCAGACCAATTCCTCTTTGCATGCCCGTCTAGCAGCAGCCATTGATAAGGGTGACAAAGATCAGCAGATCTCGGTTGAACGGATTAATATTCTGCAGAACCATATGAGGGAGCTAGAGGAAGATCTTTTGGTTGCGCAGAACCATTCGGAAGAAGAGATGGCCAAGCACGAGGACGAGATTCGTTTGCTGAAGGAAAGCCAGCATGCCCAGCTCACGCGTATGATGAATGGCGGTCGCAACCTAGTCGGCCTCTCGCCGCGGCCGCCGAACGCACCATTCGATTCCCGCTCGCCGCGTCTTGATCAGACTACAAGCGGTGAGGGTGTACCCTTGACCGAGGTAGTCCAGTCCGAAATCCTCGAGCGACGGGTCAAAGATCTCGAGAAGCTCCTCCGTGATGCGGATATGGAGATGGAGCAAGTGGTTGGACGGATGAACCGCACACAGCTCGATGTGGCTCAGCTTCAAACTGACAGGTATGCAATTCATGTTTCGTTTGATATTCCTTATTTTCATACCATTTACTAACTCATCCCACAGAGACGACGCTCTCCGCCAGACCCGCCAACTTCAGACCGAGATCCAAGCTGAGCGTGAGGCCCTCAAGGGGCTTATCAACGCCCTGTAAATTCGACAAATCTCGTGCTTTGTCCTTTTCTAATATCTTACTATACCACATCTGCATTTGCATTTGCGCTCCCATCGCCCGCGATGGCAGAGTACAATATCTTGGCGTTAGCCTGGAGTACCGGGGTTTTGTTTTGGGTTCTTTTATGAAGATCATGCCTGTGGCATCGCGCTGGCCTCTTCTCTGACTTGGGCTTGGGGCGTCTTGATTTTACATTCACGAGACTGGTGGTTGACTGTTGTTGGTCGCGCTTGTATATAAAAACCGTCTCTATTTGGGTAAATATATAATCTACTGTACAGTATCATTTGTTATCAATCTGATATTCATGAAATGTGTCGAGACCAGCTGAGAGTAATGTACATGTGAGACTTGTATCCAAGGAAATAATTTCTTCACATGCAATGTTTGTTTAGTTTGCATCCTCTTATCATCCGGGTGCCACGCCGCAACTTGGAAACGCCAGCTTAAATATCACATTCGCTTCTTGACCTGCCTATCATTGATCGCATCAGAATATATACCTCCAGAAGCAAGCTCTCCTAGTCTCCGCTTCAGCTGACGTCTAACATATCTAACGAAAACCCTCCTCGACCTGGTTGCATCGCTCAACTACAAACGAGCTCCAGCACGAGACAAAACAAAGCGCTCTCGGGTCAAAGAACCCACTCTCTGACTATTACAACCCCAGGGAATTCTTTCCCTGCCTCGCATCAGCGGTCCCTTCGAAGATATCCATTTTCAAGGGCCACAAAGACCTAAAGTTCTCAAACAAAGCGCCGGCGAGCCCAAAGAAAACAACGGACCTGCACACGCGAGGGACATCTCTGTCTGTGCCCCCTGTCTCTCCCTCGTCGAGCAGTTCAATAAAGATACTCAGAGACACAGCGACTATGGACTTCTTACCAGGTATTCTACCGCACCTACTCTCCAGCCATAGAGATACAGAACCTGCGACGCAAAGTCCCACAAGCTAACCACTCATTCCACCGACACAGAGAACCTCCAAACAGTCCTCCAAAATCCCGCTTTCACCTATCTTCAAACAACGACACAAGACCACCTCACAACAAAACTCTCGCACCTACGCACCATGGTGCTCCAACCATACCTAATCGAGCCCTTGTCGAGCTTCCTCGCCTCATACTCCTCCTCCATGCCAGACCTGCTCTCAGTATTCATTCTCATCATCATACTCTTCGTCTCCATTAAGATTCTAGGATATGCGTACCGCGTGGTCATGTTCTGGATCACGCTCGCCTTCAAACTCGTCTTCTGGGGCACGATTATTGGTACCGGCTGGTATGTCTACAGCGTTGGTGTTGAGAATGCGGGCAGGGATTTCGGGTGGCTTGGGGGTGTGATATATGGGTTTGTGAGCGATTTTCAGGAAAAGAGTAAGATCGCTGCGGCGGCTTACGCGGGGAACCCCAAGTAGGGTGGTTTGGTTTGGTTTATTGGATTGGGTTGTGTAATGTGAATTGAGGATGTTTGTCTGATATTCAAAATCCTCGGCCTGTCACTGTCTTTTTTTCCAGGCTGGCATACCTGTTTGGGGGTATATGATGAAAATGCGCAATGGGACTACCTATTTTTTTACTTCATCCTGCTGAATTGGTC